ATTTTATGATGGGTATCAAAACATAAAACACACAAAGGAAATGAGAAGACTGACTGTCACGCCAACCGAAAAGCCTAACTTCCATTACATTGATGTGAGCCATTCTGTTCTCTGGTAAGAGAGTATATTGTGGAAAAACTTAGATATTAAAAGAAACCAATTTAAAAACTGTGGATGAGCTATAAATGGGAAGGATAAGCTAAAAGATTTATCACCCCATCTAAGGCAACCTCAAAGAGACATATTGCACTAATTCTCACCAGATTTCTGAGACTGCAGTACTGGCTGAGATTCTATCTCAATATAATCTCTGTAAATGCCCTAAATAAGACAGCACCATACTTATTCCTGTGGAGATAGACTGCTGGTCGCTTATGAAACAGTACAGAATAGTCAAAGGTGCTCACTTTTATTGAAAGCCTATTGATTGGTTAAAACTACTGAGGTTAGCACAATAGATGACTTTTTGTGATGAGGTGCGAAGTATAGTATTCCGCAGTTTATTAATAATATATATTAAGTTAGTTAGGGTCTAAAATACATCCCATAAATTATTTTAAAACTATTTTAATTTAATTCTAATGTTAGTTTCAAAATTTCTTTTAAATGTCTAATAAATAGTTTAATTATAAAGTATGAATTTCAAGTTAAATATATTTATATACACACACTCTAATTTAAAATTCCTTTGTCTCAAATCTAATGCAATATAGTTATATTATATATATAGGTATATATATATATATAGGTATATCTTGCTGGTTTTCAAGATATACTTCTATAAAATCATCTGAACAACTTATTATCAGAATTCAACGGAAAGTACATATTTGTTTCTGCGGCCCTCTAATCTGTTTAGTTATTTTTATTGACCCGTGATTGCATCTAGTCTGGAGAGCCCTGATCTAAATGATTACAGACACTATTGAGTAAAAATGTTTTAGACTAACTCGCGTTTGATCAAGCAAAGAAGAAGAATATATACATAAATCTAGTACATAAAAATAATATTCTTTTGTATTATATTATTCATTAATAATAATATATAATATAATACCGAGAATACATTTCGAAAAATATTCTATTATAAGTGTACCCAATCGTTGGTAAATAAAATTGTTCGTCTCTGAAGAGGACAAATCAGTCATCTGCACAGACAACTTATCGCCGCTTATACTTCCCAAATAGACTACTAAAACAATAAAAGTTCAGGCGACTTCTGGATGCAATCTATATATACAATATATTATTTCGTTTCTTGATTTTGTAGATACTTAAAACATATATTATAAATCGTATTATTTAAATTAAATAATATTGCTTGTATTCTTCACTTTAAGTAATTTCAGATTTAAGTATAGTATTAGAACAATATATATATATAAATATCTATAAAAAAATTTTAATATTTTAAAATTCTAAGATGTGGCTAAGCGTTTTTTGAATTATTTTCAAATTGTCATGTTTTATTATTGCTGATCAGATTATTTTAATATATATATTAAAACATATGTAATGTTTACGTTTAATAAAATTTTACTACAAAAAATCGAACATTTTTCACTATATTTACATTAACAAATTAACAAAACTAAAATATTAAAACAAACATATATGTGTAGATATATTAATAATATAAGGCAATACGTTTTTTAAAAGCAAGTATTAAACATATCACATTGTTAAAAGCACATAATTGATATCATATAGAGTTTATAAAATAAATAATATTTACAACTATAATAAACTATTTTTTTTTTTAAATATATAATAATTTAAACATTTTGAATTTATTATAAATTTTTGTTAATGCCAAATTTTGCTTAATTTTTGTTTTTGTTATTGTTTTTCAATATTAAATAAATAATTCTTAAAAATGTATATATTTTAGTAGAAGCTATGTGACTTTAAAGACCTTAGTATATAATATTTTTAAATATATGTTATACTATAGTATGATAGCAATATATAGATATGCTATAGTAGAGCCTATTTAATCTCAAAGATGTTTATGTTAAATATATAATATATTAAAGTTTATATACTTCATTAAAAAAAACAACTGTGCAGTTAAAGACTGTAACACCCTAAAACCGTTAGGTATTATAAAATATATTATATTTAAAAATATCAGTTTTCAATAATTTTTATTAATTAATAATAATTTTTATTAATTATTAATATATAACCAACACCATAGCTTAAGTTTTTAATAGCTGTTTTATTTTTCTCTTATAAACTTATGATTTTATATCAACAAAATGTAAGAAGCAAAGTCTTAATATAAAAATCTGATACTTATACTTATCTAATAATAAATTGTTATTAAAAAATTTTAATGAAACAAATACAACAAAACAACATACACAAAAAATACAACAAACACAATTTAATTATTGCAAGAGGTTTTAAAGAGCAAATTTTTTATATTACACGATTAAATTAGAAAAGTGATTAGTGATTTTTTCAAAAATAAACGGGACATGTTAGCGACTAGGGTTAATAAATACGATTTTGTTAAAATATTTCAAACATAATTTTTAAGTTTATTTTAAAAAATAATTTTTAAGTTTTTTTTTTTAAATAATTTTTAAATAATTTTTAAATTTATTTTTAATTTAATTTACATATATAAATTAAATTATTTAAGTATATATTTTTATATACAAAATGTAAATAAAAATGCATTTTAACAAAATCATTAATAATTTTTATTTTATTTATCACAAAACAAAGATAAAGGAATTACTTTTAAAGTACAAAACAGTAGGAATAACTTTAAAGCTTAAGGTTATAAATTTTTAAGACTTTAACTATTTTATACAAAAAAAGAATTTCAAACTAAAATTTTGATGCTTAACAATTCAAAATCAAAATACTGAAACGTTTTATAGTTTTTTTTATTATCAATTAATACAATCAATTAATATAATTATAATTTTTTTTTTATAAAAAAATTTATTGTACTTACGATGATCTTGACTCATGCAGTACATGACTAGGATCGTTTTTACGTATTTCAGACTCTCGTACTGCTTCAGTAATTGATTTGAAAACAGTATTATAAATACTAAAAAAGGAATAAAAATATTTTAAATTAATTATTTATATATTAATTTTTTATATTATATATTTTTTACTCACAGTTTACATATAACATCGATAAGCAGAGTAGTTACTGGTATTAGTACTAATCCGAACCAAAATACAGGTGTTGTGAATAACATAGTATCCATTCCACAAAAAACTACAGCCAATGGTAATACAGGCCAAAAACGACTGTATACAATCACAAAAAGGAACCACATAAATATTGAACCCCAAATCGCAGCATGCGTTAACCAAGTCCAAGAATTTGTCGAAAGACCAGCTTTCAAACAAACTGTTACAACTACATACTATATAAAGAAATCAAAAAATTATTAGATTATTATTATTAATTAAATCATATTTAATCTAAATTTATATATACAGTGCTTGCTCGAAAATATAAACTAATTAGACTCAAAATTTACATTTACATTCTAGAACTTTGTTCATTTATTATAGTAGTAAATATGTAAAGAAAAAATGTTTATGTGATCCAATGTTCATGTGATCCAATGTTCATGTGGTCGAACAAACACTGTGGTTCAATTTAGCTTATATAATAAATAAATAATAATTATTGTATCTAAATTGAAAAATTTTTATTAAAATTCATAATAATTACTTTTAAGGTAGTGTTCAGAACAACTTTCTTTCGCTAAAAAAATCGCATAGATACTAAGATCGCTAGAACCCTATTGCATAGATTATATAGGAGATAAACAAAAACGTAGTTTCAGTTAACCCGCGGTTTATGTGCTTCTAGTGGGGCACTGTGCTATTGCACAATTGCTTCAAAGTGAACAAATTTCAACGACTGTGCAACTGTGCAAGAATTGCTACTATAGTCTATAAAATCTATCAATTACTTTTCTTTGTAAAAAGAGATGTACTTTGACTTTGTCCAGGTCTACAAATGAAGCAATATCTATGAGAATGTTTCGTGTTGTTGTATCCCGCTGGGTTTTCGAAAGATGGGTTAGGATGTA